CCCCAAAACCCCAAAACCCCAAAACGCTACTTAATAAAATTATATGGAATAATTTAGAGATAATTAAAAATTGAATAGAAATTAAAATGCACTGGTTTGTGTTGGTATTTGCACTGTTAATCGTATATCTCATATTGATAACTGCATTAATGGCAGTAGTATTCCCATCAGTCAGGAACGGAATCAAGAGAGCCCTTCACATCATAGTGGGAAGTGAATAAGCAGAACAAATTAATAGATAGAATGAAAATTAAAGAGAAGAAGATGAGAGAGCTCATGCAGAGAGATTTTAAAATGCAAGAGATTAAAAAGAGTATAAATTCCAAATCTTAACATCTATACTTTTAGTTGCCCTATTTGTATTGATGAACTAAAAGAGAATCAAGTAGCATCAATGTGTGGTCATATATTTTGCTGTAATTATCATTTCATGCTAATTTGATCTTTAGCTGGTTGTATTGTATCATATTGGAAAGCAAAACGAGAAAATAAGATCTAATGCCCTTACTGCAGAAGAGACATATCATTATTGTTGATGAAAGACCCTACTAAGGTAGAGATAGATGATAGAAGAGACATCCAAAGATTCAACACATTATTTTCTGCTGATAGAACTGTACAAAATATTTGATTATTTTTCATACTTAAATTTAGTTCCTTGATAGAATAAGAGATTTCCCATTTTTAATAGCTAGATTTAGAGATGAATTAGTGAACACACGTGGTGGAGTGCTCTTCCAAAGTTCTTGGTTCTTAATTTACATTGCTATTATGGTGATTTACTTGATTTCTCCATTTGATTTGATTCCTGAATTTTTGTTTGGCATATTTGGAATGATTGATGACATTCTTGTGATGATATATATTCTTGGGTCTATCTCAACCGTATTTTATCAGGTGTTAGTCAATAGAAATAGACAAGAAGTGAGAGCAAGATGACTAATTTCTTCAAAATCAAAGAGATTATTGAAATATAAAATGATTTTTTATCAATTATATAAGTTTTTAATAGTATTTGTCAGCTTCTAGATTTTAATGCATGGGGTTTTGGGGTTTTGGGGTTTTGGGG